TCTTTTTTTTTTGTAAAATTCTTTACAAAAATTATGAAAAATAAAAAAAAATTTTTTTTTTATTAATTTAATAATTACTTTTTTAAAAATAATTTTTATCAGGGCAGAAAATCATTCTGCCCTGATGAAAATTATTTTTTATTTTTTAATTTGTATACTAAAAGGAAATCTTGTTTAATAGCAGATTTATCAGAATAATTAACACGATTTTCATTTGTCAAAATTCTTATAATAATTTGTGTAGTCAATGATTATAAAAATTGTTGAAGGGCAATATTTTTAGATTATATAATACATTTATGCATTCAAGCAAACAATGATGAATTTAAAACTGATCTTAAATTAAGATCTTCTTTTTAGTGAATATTAGTTGTACTGTATTTGTAGTTAATGTGGTCAAAATAATTAATTTAGTTTGTTAAATAATTATTTTAGTTTGTAAACCATATTAATCGTGATGGAAACACTATATAACTAAAAATAATTTTTTTAAAGAAACACACATCTTTTGTTTCAAAATTATTGCGGTATTTTCTTTCTAAATACAAGCACTCGTATACACTGCATCAAAGAAGATATTCGGTTTCAACAATCAACAACAAATACCAAATAATTTTTTTCATTCCCCTTCGATGCCCTGAATTCACGTGTCTTGATATTAGACATTTTCAATGCCACATTTTTTTTTTTTTTTTGAGAAAAGAAGGTCAGGTTTTTAAGGTGGTTTTGGAAATAGAAAAAGCAAAGATTGAAAGAAGATCTTTGATCCTTTTTCATTATGATGAAAAAAACCATAAAGTAAACCGTCGTCGGTCACTGTGAGTCTGTAACTCCTGTACCATTCATCCGTAGCATGCAGGCTCCTTTATCATGTACATTGGGGATCTATTCAAGCAGCTGAAAATCCCTTTTGCGCGTGAATCACAAACACATATCTCTCTATATGTGTATATATTTTTATTTGAAAGTATAGAAAGAAAAAAATAATGTCTATACAGACGAGGAAGCAGGAAGATTGTCAAAGAGGGACGACATATATTCGAATGTGTATAAGAAAAGGGTCTGGTTGCTTTTCGTTATGTTACCTATTGATCCTGTGAGAAGGGATTTCTTGTTTTATATATACAGGGTGGGGCGCTTTTTTTCTTTCTTTGTTGTAGAAAAAACGCAGTTTTTTTTCTCTTAAATAACAAATACGTTTGTTCTCAAAACTCAACTGCGCACTTGTTTCAACAAAATTTAGAGTGTGAAGACAAATTTTTATTTAAATTGGTTTAACTTTAAATAAAAACATTTCTCTGGGTGTAGTTGATAGTTGTGTAAAAAGAAGGTCTTATTTCAAGGCAATAATAGTCTTAAATTCAGGTTTGCGTATACTTGTGAAATTCTCAACACAGTTTTCTTGAAAGCATCGAATTGATACTAAAATAAAATCAAATTGATGCCAAAAATTAAGATCAATTTTTGATTTCACCCACATTTTTAGTATCAATTCGTTGCAGTTTGATGCTATTAAGTTAACAGTGAACATAAAAATTTGTACAGTAAATTCAGCATTGGTTGTCTTAAAAATGTTGCATCTTAAGTGAAGACTTCCTTTCTGCTTTAAATAGTAAACTAAAGTTATGACTTAAACCATAGTCAGACTTCGCACTCGATAATTAATTTTAAAAAATTAGCAAAAAGTAGCATTAAAACTGAAAAAAAGTAGTAAAAAAGTAGTCATCGAAAAATTAAACTTGACGACAAAAAGAAACGAGTTTTTTTTTTGTCGTCAAGTTTAATTTTTCGATGACTACTTTTTTACTACTTTTTTTTAGTTTTAATGCTACTTTGACTTTATAAAACTTTGACTTTAACTTTATAAAACTGACAAAAATTCCATTCTATATTTTATTTTCCTGACTTTTTCCTAATTTTCACCAAAAATATTTACTTCTTTCTTATCCTGCTAATAACTTGAATTTCTGCAACGAATTTTATATTATTCATGAAAGAATTTAAATATTTATAAAAATAATTTAATTCTTGCGAAGAATTTTATAAAAATTTTTTAATAATTCACTTTTTTCGACTAAATTTATGAAAATTCTAATCTAAGTAATTGAATTCATGAGAAATTTTTCTTATTCATGAAAAGAATTGAATTCTTACGAAGATTTTTACAGAAAAATTTTTAAATAATTAAATTCTGTTTGGAAATTTTATGAAAATAGTAAATATTGAAAATCATTGAATTGCGAAAAGTGTTTTAAAATAATTAATATTTACAAAGAATTCAATTAAAATTTTGTACAATTATTGAATGTCTGTGTAGTATTTTATTACATTTTTTTTAAATAATTGAATTTCTAAAAGCATTTTATTATTTATGAAAATAATTAAATTCTTGCGAACGATGTTATTAGAATTTTTATAAATAATTGAATTTCCAAGAATAAATTTATTTTTTAAAAAATAATGGAATTCTTGTGGTGAATATTGTTATTTATAAAAATAATTGAATTTTGCAAAGAATTTTATTAAAAAGACTCAAAATTCATTAAATAATTGAATATTCGGGAATAATTTTGTTATTTATTTTTAATAATTCAATTCTTTCGAAGAATTATTAATGTAAATAATTGAATTCTAGCGAAGAATTTTATTAAAATCTAAAAGAATAATTGAATTAATTCAAAAAAATTTAATTAAAATATTGTATTTAAAATAATTGATTTCTTTTAAACAATTTTATTCAAATATTTATAAATAATTTAATTCCTGTGAAAAATTCTTATATTTTTGTAAATAATTGAATTTCTCCAAAGAATTAAAAAAAAACATTCTTTTAAATAATTATTTTTTTTGAGGAATTGAAATTAAATTTTTAAGAATAATTACATTTTTGGAGCAATTTCTGTAAAATTGTATTAAAAATATTTGAAATCCTGCAATAAATTTCATTATTTATGAAAATAATTGAATAGTTGCTAAGAATTTTATTAAAATTTTCAAAAATAATTGAATTCCTAGAAAGCATTTTATTATTCATGAAAATAATTTAATTTTTGCGAATGATGTTATTAGAATTTTAATTAGATAATTGAATTTTCAAGAATAAATTCATTACTTTTATAAAGAATTGAATTATTGTGATGAATATTGTTATTTATAGAAATAATTGAATTTCCAAGAATAAATTTATCATTTTAAAAAATAATTGAATTCTTGTAATGACTATTGTTATTTATAAAAATAATTGAATTTTGCAAAGAATTTTATTAAAATGCCTCAAATTAATTGAATTTTTCGGAATAATTTTGTTATTTATCGACATAATTGAATTCTTGGGAAGAATTTTATTAAAATCTATAAAAGAATAATTGAATTAATTCAAAAAATTTTTATTAAAATTGCATTTAAAATAATAAATTGATTTCTTTCAAACAATTTTATTAAAATATTTAAAAATAATTGAATTTCTGTGAAAAATTCTAATATTTTTGTAAATAATTAAATTCTTCCAAAGAATTTTAAAAACAAAATTTTTTAAATAATTGATTTTTTCGGGAAATTGAAGTTAAATTTTTTAAAATAATTACCTACATTTTTTTAAGCAATTCCTGTAAAATTGTATTAAAAATAATTGAAATCCTGCAATAAATTTCATTATTTATGAAAATAATTGTATAGTTACTAAGAATTTTATTAAAATTTTCAAAAATAATTGAATTTCTGAGAAGAATTTTATTATTTACGAAAATAATTAAATTATTGCAAAAATTTTTATTAAAATGTTTAAAAAGATTTGAATTTCATTGAAAAATTTTATTTTTGAAAATAATTGATTTCTTCATATAAATTTTACAAACATTTTTTTAAATAAATAATTTTTTCAAAATATAATAAATATTATGAAAATTTTATTTTAAATAATTAAATTCTTCTGGAAAACTTTATTTGTGAAAATAATTGAATTTTTCGATTAATTAATTTGAAATCGTTTAAAAAATAATTGAAATTCTTTGTTGAGTTTTATTATTTATGAAAATAATTGAATTTTAGCTGAATTATTTCATGAATGCTTTTTTTTTTGCGAAATTTTATAAAAATACTAAATATTGAAAATAATTGAATGTCGAGTATTTTTTTTTGAAAATAATTGAATCGTTTTAAAGAATTTGATTATAATTTTTTAGAAAAATTTTTTTAATTCTAGTATTAGCGAATTTAGAGTAGTGGAAATTCTAAAAAAAAACAGAAATAGTAGCTTTTAATAGCTGAAATCTAAAAAAAGTATTCAAATAGTAGCATAACGTAAAAAAGTAGTAAATAGTAGGTTTTAGTAAATGAGTGCGAAGCCTGCATAGTTTTAAATTTAAAAATAGGCTACTTTTCAATAATTTTGGTTTTAAAAAATAAACAGATTCAGATTTTGTTTTTAAACCAAATTTAGGTAATTTTAGAACTTAAAATCATTCTCTTGAGTTTAAAATTCAGTCAAAAATAGTTTTTAAGTGCTCTTGTAAACGGTTTTTTTTACTAATAAATTTAAAAATAAAATTTAAATTAAAATTTCAAAGAAAACAATTTTTCACAGAGTGGATTGTTTCAATATTAGAGTTATTTAATTTTCTCCAGCTAAGTAATAAAATAATTAAATGAAAAATCTTTCTCCATTAAAAAAATTTGTAATTTTCAAGTGTTTTGACGAGCATAGTCTATTCTTTTTTCCCGGCACGATAAAACAAGATAAAACATGTGCGAATAAGAAATGTTTAGTGATTGTCGTGGTAGTGGTAAGCGTGTGTCGCTAGTGGTGGATAGTCTTTTCAGCCCTCCAATCTAACCATTCTCGATTGGCGCAGTTGAGCGCCTTCGTTCCTTCGATTGACAACTGTGTTTTGCGGCGGTAACTTATACATTAATACAAACAAAACGAAAAAAAAAGAATAAAAGTGCTCTTGATAATTTAAAAAATAAAATCACATACCTGACTTATAAAGATGACAATTTTCCTCTAGTTCCATTATTTCTAATTTGATTGCGTGCCATAGTTTTTATTCTTCAACAAAAGAATAAAAATAAATATTGTCAATAACAATAAATTATTGTTACAATATTTTTTTCCACTTGTAGAAATAATCTCTTCTTGTAAACTGAAACAAAAAAAAAAAAAATAAAATGCATTTAGTGAAGTGAAATTTTTTAAATGAAATGTGGAAAGAGGTGCGACGACATTGAGGATTTATGGGGAAAAGTGTTCGATTTGTAAATGAGATGCCGGTAAGAATAATGATTTCTATCATTTTGTACACGAAAAAAGAAATTTTTTTTGGAGCAGCTAACATTTTTGTTAGAATAGCTAAATTTTTAATTGATTCAGTTAAAAATTTCGCTATTTCAGAGAAACTTATCGCTGTTCCAGATGAAACTTTTTTCTTTTAACTTTAAACTTCATTAAACATCAAAAACTTTATTTATACAAAATTTAACAAAATTTAGCAAACTTTAACAAAATTTTATATTACTATTTGATAAACACCTAACATTTGGAGGAATAATTCAAAAGTTATTAAAAAAACATAAACAAAATAACATTCACAATGACTTCAACTTCAACAACTTCATTTATTTAACAAAATTTTGTTCTAATATTTTTTTAACATCAAACATTAGGAGGAATTATTCAAAAATGATAAAAAAACATAAACAAACAAGAAAAAACATTAACAAAATTTTATATTATTTTTTTTAGCCAAACAGTTGGAGGAAGAATTAAAAAACGATTTAATAACATTATAACAAAATTTAAATAATTTTTAATAATTATTAATATTAATTTTATTATTATTCATTATATTGTTAATTACTATTTTTCTATTTTTTTCTTTTCTTTACATTTGATTTTATTATTATTATTATTATTATTATTATTAGATTGTTATTAATTTATTTCTAATTATAATTCAATTATTAATATTTTATAATTATTAAAGATAATATTTCTTTTATATTTTTAAAAATCCTAACTAAATTCTTTTGAATAATTTTTTTGAATTTTTTTTTTTTGAATTTTTTTTAAACCAATGGAGTTTCTTCAATAATTTTAATTGAAAATTTTAAAAGCAATTGAATTTTATGAAGAAGAATTTTATTAAAATTGAATTGAAAATAATTGAATTCTTGCGAAGAATTTGACTCTAAAAATAGTTGAATTGTTTCGAAGAGTTTATTAAAATTTTAGGAAATATGTTGAAATTTATGGAAATATTTTTAAATATTTGAATTTATCCGAGGAATTCAATTAAAATTGTTTTGGAAATAATTGAATTCCTGCAATGTTTCGAAAAATTTATTAAAATTTTAAGAAATAATTAGATTTTTATGAAAAATTTTATAGAAACATTTGAAAATAATGAAATTCTTTCGAGAAATTCAATTAAAGCTGTTTTGAAAATAATTGAATTTCTTTAAAGAATTTTATTAAAATTTTATTAAAACATATTCAAAATAATTGAATTCATCACAAGAATTTTATTATTTTTTGATAATAGCTTAATTCTTTCAATTTTTGTTTTACGAATATATTTAAAAATTGCATTGAAAGTAATTTAATTTTTATATAGAATTTTTTAAAAATATTTTGAGAATAATTGAATTATTTTTAGAGAATTTTAAATTCTTGTTGAAATTTAATTTTATGGAAATTTTTGAAAATAATTAAATTCTTTCGTGTAATTTTATTTAAATTTGATTAAAAATAATTTAATTCCTGCAAAGAATTTTTGTATTTATAAAAATAGTTGAATTGTTTCGAAGAATTTATTAAAATTTTAGGAAATAATTGAAATTTATGGAAATATTTAGAAATATTTGAATTCATCTGAGGAATTCAATTAAAATTGTTTTGAAAATAATTGAATTCCTGCAAAGAATTTCACTATTTATAAAATTAATTGAATTCTTGCGAAGAATTTTACAATTTATAAAAATAATTAAATTGTTTCGATGGATTTATTACATTTTAAAAAATAATTGAATTTCTTCGAAATGTATTAAAAATTTTTGGAAAAATTGAATTCTTTAGAGGAATTTAATTAAAATTGTTTTGAAAATAATTGAATTTGTGCAAAGATTTTACTATTTATAAAAATAATTGAATTGTTTCGAAGGATTTATTATAATTAATTTAGAAAATAATTTAATTCTTTCGTGAAATTTTATTAAAATTTTTGAAAATATGAACAGTAATAATTAATTTTGTACTTAATAAGTGAATTTTTTAAATTTTGATTATGAAATTATTTAAAAAATTTATATTTGAAAATAAAAAATTTTCTAATTTAATAATAATAATATTTAAATTGTTATTATTATTACTATATTTAGGTATTATTATATTTATTATTATTATTATTATTATTATTGTTATAATTTACTAAAGATAATATTATTGTTAAAAAAAGATATTATATTGTTAAAAGAATTTTAAAATTTGTCAATAAAAAATTTTTATTACTGAAGAAAGACGTTACAAAATATTAACATCATCATTTATGATTGTATTTTTCGTGAGTAGGTCATGCCCTTATCGATAGCTATAGAAAGATAACTCCTTTACTTTGACAATCATTTTTTTTTTTTTTTTGAGAATAAAATAAGAAAAAAAAGTGTCGTATAGACTCTCTCGCAACCCGAAAAAGTGTAAAGTAGTTCAAAGAGCAAAAGATAAATACATCTTAATCTTTACAAATTTTCTATATAGAAAATACAAATAGTGTTGTTTGCTTATTGCCGGACAAGTTAAATAATAATACATGAGATAAACTAATAAGATAAACTTTAGTCTATTAATTGTATCTGTAAATATTTAACTACATTATTATCATCACTAAAATTCGTAATACATAAAAAAATGGAATTGGCAAACATTTTTCTTCTTTTCATTTAATATTTTGTTTTTAACTATTATTTAATTAATAATATTTTTTAAATAATAAAGATTTTAAACTTATTTAGTCATTATAGGCCAAACAAATAAGTTAAAGATCTTTATTCAACAAATAAATAATAATAAATAATAATAGTAATAATAATAATAATAATAATAATAATAATAAAAAATATATTGGCTTCAAAAATTTCTTTTATCAACAATAATTTTTTATTTAACATTTTCATTTATTCAATTTTTATTCATGATTTAAAAACTACTTTTATTTCAAACTTAAATAGTTAATATTTTTCTTTAAATGAAAGTGATAGTTACGTCATGAAATAATAATTTAAATTGTATAAAGTACATCCGCTTTCTTGTGGAATTTTCCTCTAATTAACTAAAATGCTTCTTTGTATAAAAGGGTCTTTTACACCAAAAGGGTTCATAAAAAATTTTAAATTGCAATTTTTATATATACAATTTCGACAATTTTACTTTAATTCGGACTCTTTTTTAAAAAATTTTCTTAAATTGACTATAATATGAAATTATTATAAATTTATAATTAATTAGACCTTATATTTATTATTTAGAAATAACCAAATTCGGTATTTTCATCTCTTCTCTTATTTCCAAATTTTTGAAGTGTAAACAATTTTTTTTTAACCGCGACAAAAAAAAACAATATTCTATGGGGGATCAAGTTTCATAGTCTTTGGACGATGTCTTTAATTGAACTTAATTACCGATCGCTTTTCTTGTTAAACCACATGACTCACATAATGTTCTTAGGCACTTTTATGTGTCCAAATAATTCCCACGTGTTAATATCATATATATAGGGGAAATAAACATTCATGACACTTTTATGGTTTAATGTCCAATTATTTAATCATTCATTATTATAGACTTTTTTTTCAAGAACTCAAGTGCACTAATTGAAGAAAAAATTTAGAAAAACATAAAGTTTTTTACTTACTGTCTTTATTTTTCTCCTTCATCCATTAATTTATTGTTCATAAACCTTTACTTTATATTGGAGTTAAAAAAATTTTTTTATTCATTTTTTATTGACTATTAGGCCAAACAAAATTTTTTTTTATTAGAAAAATAATAATAAAAATGTAACAAATTTTTTTTGGCTAGAAAAATAATCATAAAAATAAAATTGTCACCAGGATTAAAATTTGTAATAAGAAAACAGGTTTTATTTTCTATTCAGAGCTTTTTAAAATTCACGAATTAAAAATGAAAAAGGTCATTAACAGAAATGCATTTATTATACATGGCGTGTATAATTATATAACAGAAACAGATGTTTACTATATATATAAATATACGCTTGCACTGATTTTACAAAGAAATTGCGTTCTTTCGCGTGACTCCGCGTAGTAAGAGGGAAAATAAAATTAAGTATCAAGGGTGCTGGGGGTCAAGGGGATGAATCACCCCTCAAAATGATGAGAATTCCTCGCCGATCGATATCTAAACCGTGACCCAAGTTGGAGCCACTTCCCTTATTCTGAGTGTATCACATTTTGTTCACGTAACAGAATCACGAAAGGAAAATTTCATTTTCTTTCACAAAAAAAAACAATAAAATTTTTTATTTAAAAAAAATTTTTTTAAACTTGTTTTTAAAAATACTTTCTTGATTAATAAATCAAGAATAAATTAAATCATTAATAATAAATACTTTTTTGATTAACAAATTAAGAATAAATTAAATCATTAATAATAAATCTAGAAAGAATTTAAAGAACATTAATACAAACATATTTGTAAAAATTTTAACAGTGGGAAAAATATTTTTTCTTTGTTTCAAGACAAAAATTTATGAAAATTTTATGTTCTTGTAGTTAGCGTCAAAATTTAGCGTAGAAAACAATTATTTGGAGTTTTTAGAGTTGATATTATCATCATAATGCCAAATCAGGAATTTTTTCAACAAATTAAAAAAAAGTTTTATTATTTTAATATGTTTTTAAAAACTCGCTTTTTATTTCAATTTTCATAGATATTTATATTAACTAAAGAATTAGTTAAAAATAATTAATTTGATTGTAAAAAATTAGTCACTGATTCAAATATAGTATGTAAATGAAATTAAAAAAAATTATCGAATTTTAATAGAAATTTTGTGAAATTCAACTGAAAATAATAAAATTTATTAAAGAATTTCTTAAAAACTTTTTAACAAATCGGATTTTCAAAGTATTTTATTTTAATAATTGATAAATAATTAAAATTTATAAAGAGTCACATTCTAATGTATTCATGTTTCTTTGTACGAAAATTAATAATTAAAAATTTTATTAGTCAATTTAAAAAAAGATACACACTTAAAATTTTTGAATAAAATTTAATTTTCGCAAAGTTTTTTTTTTAAATTCTGAAAAATAAGATTTTTGAAATTTTTCAATTCTGTTGTTTCAAGATAATTGAATTTTTATAAACAAATAATTGAAAATTTTTGAAATAATTGAAATTTCTTTAAATTCTATTAAAAATAATTAACTTCTTTTAAAAACTTTATAAAAATTCGTCGAAAGAATTCAATTATTTCTAGAAACTGAAAAAAAAATCTTGTCAAGAATTCAATTATTTTCACAAATAGCAAAATTCTTCAGATTTACTAAATTCTTTTGAATATTATTTTTAAAAAATATTCTACACAAGAATTCAATTATTTTCATAAATTTCCATAAAATTCTAAAAAAAACAATTCAATTATTTTCAAAAGTAATAAAATTCTTCGCAGAAATTCAATTATGTTTAAAACTTTTTTTAAATTCTCCTCAAAATTTCAATTATTTTCAATATTCTACACAAGAATTCAATTATTTTTCTAAATTTTCATAACATTCTAAAGATCAATTCAATGATTTTCAAAAGTAATAAAATTCTTCGCAGAAATTCAATTATGTTTAAATTTTTTTTTAAATTCTCCTCCAAATTTCAATTATCTTTATAAATAATTAAATTGTTCTCCACAATTCAATTATTTTCAAAAATTTTAATAAAATTCTACGCAAACATTTTATTATTTTCATAAATAATAATATTCTTTTAAAGGATTCAATTATTACTTTTATAAATATAGTAAAATTCTTTGCAGAAATTCAATTAGTATCAATACATTTTAATAAAATTGAATTAATAAAATTTTCAATTATAATTATAAACAGACAAAATTATTTTAAAAAATCAAAAAAATTCTTTGTTTAATTCAATTATTTTCCAAATTTTTAATTAAAATTATTAAAAAAAACATTATTTTCAAAAAATTTAAAGAAACTCGTCAAAAGAATTTAATTATTCATAAAAACTCTAATAAAAAATTTGGAAGCCATTTGTAGATTTTGATTATGTTCAAAAACAAATAAATTTAAATTTAATGAGAAAAAAAACGGAATTTACTAATTTGATTTAGTGACTGACTTTTTGCTTTTGAGTTGGTAAATTTTACTAACAATTTAGTAGAAAATAGTAATTTCAACTAGTTTGTTAGTAAAATTTATCAATTCAAAAGCAAAAAGTCAGTCACTATAATATAAAAAATAATTTTTCTGGTAAAATTTTAGATCCCTATAAAAATTTAGGCGTCTACGCAGAAAGTCAATAATGAAAAACAACTTATTTTATAATGATAATAAATTAGTAGAAATTATTATTTATTAATAAGATTTACTAATTCAAAAGCAAAAAGTCAGTCACTAATTAAAATTAGTAAAAATTTTTACTAATTCAAATTTAGAGAGTTCGGAACTTCCACCAACGTAAAAATTTCAAGTTCATTCTGCTATAAAATGTATAGTAAAAATTACTTTTTGTTTTATTTATTATTTTTTTTTTTGCATAAAGTAGGAACGTAATTGAAATACGAAAGTTGACAATTTTTTCTTTTCGATAGATTCAAAATTTTGAGCTAGTGACGAACTGAAGAACTCAAGAATGACGAAGAAGAGGCCTTAGCATGTTCCCCTTTGGCTGTTGGATAATTTTTGCCCTAACAGTCGCCATTTTCGATAATTTGGAAGCTGTTTCTGTGGTAAAACATCATCACGATGATGAGTACTTATTGGAACACAGAGTCATTTATCAAGATGCCATTAATAAGGCTCATAATCTCACTCTCTATCCGGGTAAGTTTTGCACTCTTCTATTTTTAGTGTACAATTAAAAAAATTACGTTCCTGAAATTAGCGTCGACGCTAAGCGTCAAAAACCATCATTTAACGCTTTTAGAGACGAAAATATTGCTAAATTCACCTATATAAATATAATTTTTCAATATAAATTTTCCCAGAATAACTTCTTCAACCAAAAGTCTTCGAAAAAATTGTTTCTGGTTTCAGGAAGACATTCTTTTAGACACTTAACGTCGACGTTAACATCATGGACCCAATTCATTCAAATTATTTAAATTCTCGAAAAAAAGCTAAAAATTCGTTTTTGATAAAAAAAGGAAATAAATTTTATTGTATACCGTTCTTTTTGCCTGGACAGTTGGCAAGGACGGAAAAGGTACGATTTATATATACAAAACTAGTAAACGCGTGTAAGCAGAAACAATATTTACCACACACGTATTTCTATATTCGAAAAGTCAAGCCTAGAATTTGCAGTTCTTGAAAGAACACCTTGTTTCTTAAGCAAACATTCCCTACTTCACCTCTGTACAGATTAGAGACGTTAGATATTTTCTATTTAAAAAATCACAAGAAAAAAAATTAGTTTCATCTAATCTTATCCTTATTATTTGTTAATATGTACTAATTTCTGTAAATCCAAAGTTTACTCATTGTCACTATAAATTCCAAACTAATAATAACCAAATAATAGATTTCCTAATAAAAAATATTTCAAAACAATTTTTTTTTTTTTGCTTTCGGTAAAATAAATTTTTTCTTAAAACTGCAAATGCTTTACAACTTTATTTAATTTACTAATAATTTTTTAAATAAATTTTTAAATTAAAAAATTGCGAAAAGGGGGGAAAAAATGTCGAGTTTGCGTTGGTCGCGATCGTTAGGGCGCTGATAGTTCACAGGTCAATCGTCATGCGTTCGAATCCGCTTGATATTGATTTTTTCCTTATTAATTTCGATATTAAAATTATGACTTTCTACCATAGTATGAGGAAGAAAAGGCGAAAATAAAAAAAAATAAATACAATAAAGTTTGTAGTCGTAACTTTTTGCTGAGAAAAAAATAGAAGAAAGCACTTGGAAGCCGGATAAAAGGAAGAAAGAGGAATTAAAGAAGTCTGACAATAATTAACACGCCTGTCTCTATCCCTCAGTTGCGTAAAGTGACGAGAAACTAATAGAGATGTAAATGGTATGCATAACCGTTTGTATTTATGCAACTGCCGTTCGGATTAATAAATGTTCTTTCGATCGGGAATATAATGAAAACGTAACTTTCAATTAAAAAGCACGTGCAGGTATAAAACAAAGTGTGCCACTGTTTCTTTTTTTTCAATTCATTTATATACATAATAATAAATCTTTGAATACTTTTTTGATGAAACTGAAGTTACCAACGTTGATTCAACGAAAAACTTAAAAAAAAATTTTCTCAGAATACAAATTTTCCTTGTATATTTTTAACCCAAGTAAACCCTCCAAACCCTAAAATAAAAAAAACGTGGGAAAAGCAGTGATTTTTATTGTTTTTAAAATTTTTTTTAAAAATCACGAAATTTTAATTAAATTCATAATTCCTCTCCTCGGTAGTCATTTTTTTCTTTTGATAATTGTTTATTTTAAAATTAGACGCAATTTTAAAAAAATTTTGTAATTTTCCTAATCGGGGAAAACAGTAATTTTGGTTTTTTTGTCACGGATTTATGGATAATCCGTAAATTTTAAGTAATTTAATAATTCCTCTCCTCGGTAGTTAATTTTTTCTTTTGATAATTGTTTATGTTAATATTACACGTTATTTAAAAAAAATTTTAAGTAATTCCAAGTCGGGGAAAGCAGTGATTTTAAATTTTTTTCTGTCACGAATTTTCCAAAAATTCCGAAATTTCATTTAAATTCATAATTTCTCGCCTCGGTAGTCATTTTTTTCTTTTGATAATTGTTTATTTTAACATTAGACGTTATTTTAAAAACATTTCAAGTGATTCCAAGTCGGGGAAAGTAGTGATTTTTATTCTTTTTTTTTAATTTTTTCCAAAAATCACGAAATTTTAATTAAATTAATAGTTCCTCGACCCGGTAGTCATTTTTTTCTTTTGATAATTGTTTATTTTAATATAAGACGCAATTTTAAAAAAAATTTGTACGTTTCCTAATCGGGGAAAACAGTAATTTTGGTTTTTTTGTCACGGATTTTTGGAAAATCCGGGAATTTTAAGTAATTTAATAATTTCCCCGCCTCGGTAGTTAATTTTTTCTTTTGATAATTGTTTATGTTAATATTACACGTTATTTAAGAAAAATTTTAAGTAATTCCAAGTCGGGGAAAGCAGTGATTTTGAATTTTTTTTGTGTCACGAATTTTCCAAAAATTCCGAAATTTCATTTAAATTCATAATTCCTCGCCTCAGTAGTCACTTTTTTCTTTTGATAATTGTTTATTTTGACATTAGACGTTATTTTAAAAAAATTTCAAGTGATTCCAAGTCGGGGAAAGCAGTGATATTTATTTTTTTTGTCGAATTTTTTTCCAAAAATCTTGGAATTTCAATAAAAAAACCAAAATCAGTGCTTTCCCCGACTTGGAACTACTTGGAATTTTTTTTAAATGGCACTCGACATTAGAATAAACAATTATCAAAAGAAAAAAATGACTACCGAGGCGAGGAATTATGAATTTAATTAAAATTTCGTGATTTTTGGAAAAAATTTGTCAAAAAAAAAAAATCACTTTTTTACCCACGTTTTTTTTATTTTAGGGTTTGGAGAGTTTACTTGGGTTAAAAATATACAAGAAAAATTTATATCCTGAGAAAATTTTTATTTAAGTTTTTCGTTGAATCAACGTTGGTAACTTCAGATTCATCTTTTTTGTGCTCCAGTATTTTTAAAAATTCTACTTAAAAATTTGTTGATATTTTTGTTTCTGCTCAAATATTTTTAAGAATTCTTCTTAAAAATCTGTTAATATCTTTGTTTCTGTTCCTAGATTTTTAAGAATTCTTCTTAAAAATCTGTTAATCTTTTTGTTTCTGCTCCAGTATTTTTAAAAATGCTTCTTAAAAATCTGTTAATATTTTTGTTTCTGCTCCAAGATTTTTAAGAATTCTTCTAATATTTTTGTTTGTGATCCAAGATATTTAAAAAATCTCCTAATATTTTTGTTTCTTAGCTTCAAGAAAGAGCGTAAAAAATTTAACAAAAGCAAATTTGTCTATAATTGAATTTTTTCTACAGGAGTCATTCCTGGATGTAAGGCTTGCACCTCCCAGGAGATGATGTACTGCAAGGATGGAAGTGTCATTGCCGATCATTGTTGCTGTGATTTTAGTTACAATGGTGAGAAAATTATTGCAAAAAATAAAATAAATCTTCTTTCACAAATAAAATAAACAAATTCTCCAAATTTAAAACTATAAAATCTCTTAATCTAAAATTAATTTAATTAAAACAGATTCTCTAAATTTAAAACTAAAATCTCTTAATCTAAAATTAATTTAATTAAAACAGATTCTCTAAATTTGAAATTAGATTTAAATTCTTACTGCGCTCTAAATTTTTGAAAACCTCAGTGGTATAAATAAATATTATGATAGACTTCAAGGACACATTTAAACTAAAAAAAACCGAACGGAACAAAACAAATAATAAACAAACAAGAACAAAAAAATCTCAAAAAGGTCAATACATGGTCAATGTATGCTACAGAAAAAATTTGACCCTAAAACGGTTGAATTATTGCGAGCTAAAAACAGAAAATTAGAGGTGACAATTCATGCGTAAAGTGTCAAAAGAAAAAAAAATTAAAGAACGATTGCGCATACATTTACAACAATCAATGTCGTTTCAAATTACCGTAAAGTACAATATCACACGTCGCACTAAAGGCCGTAGGGAAAGCTATAGAAACAAAGGTTATATTTTATACGTTTGCACTGTTTTTTGAAACATCGATGCTATAAAGATCGAGAAAAAAAGGGAAAAAAACTAGTGATTTTTTGTTTTTAAAACATAAATCTTCGAGGCTATACAAGAGGATATACCAAAAAAGTGACTATATAAAAAAAATAATAAACAAAAATTGTCAAATTTTGTTTTGTCAGTGTGCATTCATCTGTTTCTTTCTCTGAATTTTACACAACATTTAAAGAAAATATATAGAGCTGCATTGAATGTCGCGCATCTAATGCCATAAAGCGAATAGAACCTTAGAAATAATACTACGAACGTTATAGGCTTCTCTTCTTTGGATATAGGGGACGAGAGAATAATGAATAATTCGGTTAAGACGAGTAGTGGCGTAACGACTGTATCTTTTTTTTAAAAGTATACACAATATACTTTAAAGAATAATGTCAAGATGGTTTTTTAAAAAATAGTACGCAACAGCCCAGGTGCGAAAAGTTGGTCGGGCCATGGTCGCGCCGACCAAGTGGATAGTCGTGCCGACCTTGGCAGCCAAAGGTCGGCCGAACTAGCGAATTGTAACACCCGCCGTCCAGTGGCTAACATGGTCGGGCCGACCATGGGTGCCAAAGTCGGGCCGACCAGGGGTGCCAAAGTTTTCCCGACCATGAGAAAGAAGGTCGGCTTCATTTTGGCAACCATGGTCGTGCCGACCTTGGCAGCCAAAGGTCGGCCGAACTAGCGAATTGTAACACCCGCCGTCCAGTGGCTGACATGGTCGGGCCGACTATGGTTGCCAAAGTCGGGCCGACCAGGGGTGCCAAAGTTTTCCCGACCATGAGAAAGAAGGTCGGCTTCATTTTGGCAACCATGGTCGTGCCGACCTTGGTAGCCAATAGTCGGCCGACCGTTTGCAAAAAATTATTAACTTTACAATTAACAGATATTAAGTGATATCTTAATATTCATTATTTATTTATTTATTTATCGCATTCATCTTAACACTAGACGCAATCTTATACATAAATACAAATTAAAATTTCTAACGCTCGCAGGGATCGAACTCGCAACCTAACGCACCGAAGTCTAACACGCTAACCATTACGCTACGCTTACATGAAAGCCTAAGAACAAAAATGAATTTATAAGCTGCAATTTAAAAAAAGAAATTTGTAATTCATAACGATTAATAAATCAGATAACGTTTATTAGTTTTTGTTTAATCCATTTTAGCTAAAATAATTAACACAAAAACTTTTAATTTCTACCATGGCAGTATAGAAATGTTTTTTAAGATGGTCGGGCCAACCGTGGCCAGAGTCGGCCCGACCAACAGAAATTAGGTTTTTTACACTCTGGCTGCCATAGTTTTACCGACCATCGGTCCGACTGAGGCCAGAGTCGGCCCGACCAACAGAAATTAGGTTTTTTAAACTCTGGCTGCCATAGTTTTACCGACCATCGGCCCGACTCAGGCCAGAGTCGGCCCGACCAACAGAAATTAGGTTTTTTAAACTCTGGCTGCCATAGTTTTACCGACCATCGGCCCGACTCAGGCCAGAGTCGGCCCGACCAACAGAAATTAGGTTTTTTACACTCTGGCTGCCATAGTTTTACCGACCATCGGCCCGACTCAGGCCAGAGTCGGCCCGACCAACAGAAATTAGGTTTTTTACACTCTGGCTGCCATAGTTTTACCGACCATCGGCCCGACTGAGGCCAGAGTCGGCCCGACCAACAGAAATTAGGTTTTTTAAACTCTGGCTGCCATAGTTTTACCGACCATCGGCCCGACTCAGGCCAGAGTCGGCCCGACCAACAGAAATTAGGTTTTTTACACTCTGGCTGCCATAGTTTTGCCGACCATCGGCCCGACTCAGGCCAGAGTCGGCCCGACCAACTAAAATTAGGTTCTCTAAACTCTGGCACCCATAGTCGGCCCAACCTTGGGTGGAAACAGTAACCAAAGTCGGCCCGACTTTGGCTGCCGACCTATTGGCAGCCATAGATGGGCCGACCTGGGCCCGACCTGCCAACTCTGGCGGCCGACCAAAATTCGCACCTGGGAGAAAAGCCGATATAGAAACAAGAAAAATATTTCAATTTTTCGTACTTTACCTTTTTCATCGTAAAATAAAATTTTATTTTTACTAGGTACTACATATTATACCTAAAGAAAAGGTTTATTTAAACCATTAAATAAAAGTCTGTCTCCGACCCAACTTGGTTATTTATTTGTTTTAAATAAAAATTTTAATCCACAAGAATACAACTTTTATTTGAACCAAATAGAATTTTGTTTAAACCAAATAAAATTTATTTAAACCAAATAGAATTTTGTTTAAACCAAATAAAATTTATTTAAACCAAATAGAATTTTGTTTAAACCAAATAAAATTTATTTAAACCAAATAGAATTTTATTTAAACTAAATCAAATTTATTTGAACCAAATAGAATTTTGTTTAACCCAAATCAAATTTTTTGAATCAAAGAAAAAGTTTTGTTGGTTCTAAGTCAAATATATTTGAACTTCAGTCTGTATGCACTTAGAGAAAAATTATGTTTGAATAAAATACTCAAATTTTTTTTTATAAACCCTATCTTTGGATTATTCTAAATAAAGTTTATTTGAACCAAATAAATATTTATTTGATCTAAATAAACATTTGGTTCCATTTAACCCTTTAACGCCCTCGGAAACGGAGGAAGAAATTTTTAAAAACCAAACCATTTTTTTTCTCATTAAATTTAAATTTATTTGATTTCGAACATAAATAAATTTACAAATGGGTTCCAAAATGTTTACTAGAGTTTTTATGAATTATTTAATTCTTTTGACAAGTTTCTTTAAATTTATTGAAAATAATGTTTTTTTAATAATTTTAATTATAAATTTGGAAAATAATTGAATTAAACAAAGAATTTTTTCAATTTTTTAAAATAATCTTGTCTGTTCATAACTATAATTGAAAATTTGATTAATTCAATTTTATTAAAATGTATTGATACTAATTGAATTTCTGCAAAGAATTTTACTATTTATAAAAGTAATTGAATCCTTCCAAAGAATGTTATTATTTATAAAAATAATTAAATATTTGCGTAGAATTTTATTAAAATTTTTTAAAATAATTGAATTGTGGAGAACAATAAATTTAATTATTTATAAAGATAATTGAAATTTTGAGGAGAATTTAAAAAAAATTTTTAACATAATTGAATTTCTGCGAAGAATTTTATTGCTTTTGAAAATAATTGAATTATTTTTTTAGAATTTTATGGAAATTTATGAAAATAATTGAATTCTTGTGTAGAATATTTTTTAAAAATGATATTCAAAAGAATTTAGTAAATCTGAAGAATTTTGCTATTTATGAAAATAATTGAATTCTTGACAAGATTTTTTTTCAGTTTCTAGAAATAATTTAATTCTTTCGACGAATTTGAATAAAATTTTTAAAAATATTTACATTTTTTGAGGAATTCGATGAAAATTGTATTAAAAATAATTGAAATTTTGCAATGAGTTTTACTATTTATGAAAATAATTGAATATATTGCGAAGAAATTTTTAAAAATAACATTATAAATACGGTGACTAACTTCCCTTGATTATTTTCGAAAAATTTAAATAAAATTCTTTAAAAGAATTTAATTATTTTTAATAGAATGAAAAGAAATTTTAATTATTTCAAAAATTTTCAATTATTTGTTTATAAAAATTCAATTATCTTGAAACAACAGAATTGAAAAATTTCGAAAATCTTATTTTTCAGAATTTAAAAAAAAACTTTGCGAAAATTAAATTTTATTAAAAAATTTTAAGTGTGTATGTTTTTTTAAATTAACTAATACAAATTTTAATTATTAATCTTCGCACTAAGAAACGTGAATACATTAGAACGTGACTCTTTATAAAATTCAATTATTTATCAATTATTAAATTAAAATACTTTGAAAATTCGATTTGTTAAACAGTTTTTAATAAAATTCTTTAACAAATTTAATTATTTTCAGTTGAATCTCACAAAATTTCTATTAATTCCACAATTTTTTTTAAAATTCATTTACATACTATATTTGAATCAGTGACTGATGTTTTACAATCAAATTAATTATTTTTAACTAATTCATATTTAGATTCAGTTTTTCAAAATTCAAAATGGCGGATGCAATATGGCGAACAAATTATTTTAAATTCGTTGAACTAGCTTGAAACTTGATATTCGGGAGGTTTTTTGGAGTCACTGTTTACTAATCTGATGATGTTACTTTTTCAAAATTCGAAATAGCGGACGACTTTTTAATAATTTTTCCCATCCTTTCCAGATTAAAGTTTTATTAAAATTTTTTTTCTTTTCTAAACTCAAAAATACGACATAAATCCGCTCCTGCTATATCAAAACGATCGATGCAGTATTATAGCTGCGT